AACAAACAACTTTTCCCCCAATTGCCATGGACTTTGGATAGAACCCGAACTCTGCGTCCATGATTGTGCCTCACTCGGATGATCCCAATCAATATATGTGTAATGTGGAATTTCAGACCAAAAAGGATCAATAGGTGCATCGCCTACATGTACTACGTAATAATAATAATACAATTGAATTATTTTCTTAATCAAAAATCGCAACAACCAAACTGTCAGTATATTAATTGATAGCATACCTTCAGGATGTTCTGGTACTTGACTCGATGTTGTGTCATGATGTACAACGATACGAGACTCCCCTGAATCATGCCATGGTTGAAGTTCAGTACCAGACCTGCCACATTCTTCGTCATTGTCCGATGCACTCGCATCCTCTGCAAGAAGACGATCCTCCATTGCAATATTTTCCTCATCATCTTCGTCATACTCCTCATCCATAACCCAAGTAGGGTCATGTTCATCTTCCTCAGACATGTTAACAGCAGGAACATCAGATGAGGATGCATTGAGAGGAGAAGTAGACCTAACTGACCTCATTGGTATAACAACTTCCTTCGCGGTGGTAGTATCCACATACAACTCTAAGAAATCCTTTCTGGATTGGTTCAAGAACTCTTCCATTACCATATCGATGTCTTCGTCATCGACCACTTGCAAGCTAATGTATTGTTCACATTGCCATAATCTTACCGTGACTAGAGCGAGTGATTGGTTGTCTTGAAGACATAATTTTTGAAGTATTTTCTGATGCAGCTCCGCAACCGTTGAGTTCCGTTTAATACGTGATGACCTTTTCTCCCCTACAAAAACAACACCATGACGAGTCGACGACCTTCCTCTTTCCTACCGTTAAAATATAGAACAATATTGTAACATCCCGGGCGCTGACGAGGGCGGGGAGTGATCGCCGGTGCGAAAGGGCATGGACAAGGAGCGGCTCATGGCAGGCTTCCAGCGACGGGGGTACATGAATGAATCGAATCAACACCCGAAAGAGAGGGATTCCAGAGACTGTGCTGGTATGGGACGGTACAGTTGGGATAACTTATAAGAATTAATTGGTACTACCTATACTAACAAGATGCATCTACTTTTCGGTAGCCCGGAACGGAAGAACTTCATAGTTAAGCGTGCTTGACTTGGGGCAATTCTGGGATGGGTGACCTCCTGGGAAGTTTTCCCGGAAAGTGTGCGAGTGAGGACAAAGCACGCTGAAAAGTCTCGTTTTAGTGTGTGGGGATAGTCATTGATTCTTGAAGCGGTCAGGCGTTACAAACACGAATAGTATCAGACTTCACACTCATTTTTAAAATCAAAAATTAATAAGATAAAACGAAATATGAGTAAACAAGTGCAAACTATCAATAAACAAGTGCGAAAGAATGTGAGAGTTTAAGAATAATAACGAGGGAGAAGAGTTGTGAAGAGTGTGTAGAGGGGTGGGTGTTTAAATATACTGCAGTTTAGTCACTCACGCCCAGATTGGGCAGGACGTTCCGGTGGAACACGCTAGGTTGGGCGTGTCTTCCTCACAGGTCACGCCCTCAATGGGTGTGTCTCTCTCCTGAAGCTCACGCCCAAGGTAGGCGTGTTATCTTCAGAGGCTCACGCCCCACATGGGCGTGTCTCTCTCCATGAGAACACGCCCCATGTGGGCGTGTTTGAGTGCTATAGTTTTGTAATTTTTTTCAAAACGACTACATATTCGTAATTTTTTTATTAAAAAAGCAATAAATTAATTTTTTTTGCCTGAGAATAGCACCCAGAAACAACATTTATTGAAGTAAGATGGTGGTATTTTGATTTGTCAGCAAAATGCTAATTTGCCCACATTTTTTTCAGTAATATTTCAGCCTACCAAATAATTTTTTTTTTACTTTTTCCGAAAAATTCACTTTCCCACCATATTCTCTCTACCAAATATCCCCTTAATACTTTTCTAATTGTCCCTTTTAAATCTTTAATAGCCTTTCATCTTCAAGTTATCTTCATAAAGTGAAATTAGAAAAACATAGGGTTGCTTGATCGAAACATGCTTTATCAATCTATTACTCCTTTGTATATACCAAAAGGCCAAAAATCTAACGATTAGCTTTCTCTCCCTCTCCATTTTCTTAACGACTATATGGAACATTTTCATATAAACATTTTGTGCCAATCATTGAGTTCATGTGAAGTTCACTCCCATGTAGATCTAATTTCATAAACTATAACCTGACACTTTATTCTCGTATTGTATGATTAATGACCAAAACCTACTCCGTTTCACATCATAGATTATTCATGCCATAAAATATCCCCAAATTAATCTATAGGGATCATCAATTTATTGTATTTGATCACTATAATCTCAAATAACTGTACGTTGTGACCGAATCCAATTATGCAAGAAGCATTCACCTTAACACAACTTGTTTTTTTTTTTTTTAAGCAGCAGGGAGCACTTCTCCATAATTAACGAACATTTGTTTATGTTACTAGCATGAGCCTTGCATTAATGGCATTTTTTTTTTGTCAATAATATGATGATATTGACCTCATGTACAGTGACCTGAAATTGTAAGCTAGTGAGAAACAAGTTGATTATGAAATTAAGTGAGAAACAAGGTGATTATGAAATTAAGTGAAAAACAACATTTATTGATTTAAAAGAAAGTAACTAGTATTTTAAATTAATTAGTCCAAAATCATTCTAACTAAGAAATATAACAATATCTTAAAAAGAATTTTTCTCAAAATTTAGGCGATGTTTCAAAATAAATAATAAGAATTGACAACACCAAAAAAAATATAAAGAGAGTGGTTAGTCATACGAGTTATGTCAGTAGTTCATTGACTGCTACCAAGAATTTTTTGGTATTGTAAAGTGGTGATTGCGTAGTCGTGTTTGAAATTTGTTTCAAAAAATAGTTTTTTGATTTTTAGAATAAAAAAAATTGTTTGATAAGTTCTATTTTGTAAAAAAAAATAATTAAAATTATAACTATTTTTTTTAGAATTAAATTTAGAAAACATATCTAAGTTTTTTTTGTTTTGTGTTTTAATTTCTAATTTTTAAAATATAAAAAAATAAAAAATACCTATTTTATTAACTATTTTACAAAACAATTTTAAAAACAAAAAAAAAAAATCAGAAAACAATCAAACACACCTAAGTTTCATAATCCTTCACATATGCCTTTGTTGGGGGTGGTAAAGGAATTAGGGGTCTTCGACTCGGCTTGTGAAGGCTTGACTTATATGTCTAAAATTAGTTGTTGGAATCAGACTTGGACTTGTATAAAAAATCATTTAATAAAAAAGTCTCGAGCTCTAATTCAAAAACTTGGCCTTAGAGTCTATTAGGCTGGTCTAGTATATTAATTTTTATTTTATATTTTTTATACTACTTGTAATAGCCCTCTCTCTCTTCAATCTATTTCACCTTGTTTGTTTTATTAGTTAAACAGATATTTTGAATGATTTTGTTTTATATTATACTGTTTGGATCTACATTAAATTTATGAATATTTATGGAATTACTAGTACTGTTAATTGTATATTCTGTTTGGATAAATTATTGTTGTTTTATTTTTTTTAAACAGACTAAATCATGCTTTTATTTTTTGTAAATAAGTCATGCCACACGTCGATAATTATATTCATAACAGGTAACAAACTTGGTCAAACTGATACATTTAAACACAGGTTTAGCCTTCTAATACCAAAACTCGGCTCGGCTCGTCAACACCCCTATGCCTTTGTTTATGCACTTCTTTAAATAATTTAAATTAGAAAAGTGGTGATTACCAAAATTAATAATAATTAGAAAAGTGTTAAATGTAAATCATAATAAACCGTAAGAGTGGATACCCTAATTTTGCGTAATTGTTTCTTGGGTGTATGACTCTCCATCTGTATTTTATTATTATTATAATAGAGGTATGATGATTTTATAGCAGCATAGATTAATATACTAATTTAATTATTAATTTAACTTATATCTAATGATCAAATTTATTATTTATATGAGTCATTACTCATTAGATACAAATGCATTGGTGGAGTGAGATGGGATTAAGGTGTGATCAATATCCGCTCACTTTTAAAGACAAACTATTAGTATTATCCGTGTAGTGATTGAGCAGCCATGCTTATCATCACAAATCATGTTACAATAGCTATTTGCTATTTGTCTTTCAATTTTGTTAAAAGGTAATATTGTTTCAATTATTTTTAAATATATAAAAATATGAAATATATTGGAAAGGAATAGAAGAGTAGATTTAAACATAATAAAGTTGGTCTTGATTTCGTGTCAATCTCAAATATATTTAATGTTTATCTAAATATCAATATAAGATAATTAAATAAATAAGTTACAGATAATTGATTTAGGATTTGAAAGTTTTGATATAAAATAAATTTAAACGGATAAAATTGGTTTTATTTTCTAGCCAATCTTGAACAAATTGGATGTCTATATAAACATCAAAATATAATAAATAAATAAGATAAGATAAGAAGAATAAATTGAAGATTGGATACAAAGTAAGTTTAAATGTGTTAAAATTTATTTTATTTTATAGTCATTCTCATCTAAATATCAATATATAATAAATAAGATAAGAAGATTGGAATTAGAGTTTGAAAAAATTGGATAGAAAGTAAATTTAAACAAAAATATCGTGTTTAAGGTCATTATTAACAAATGGATCAATGAACTAAAAATGAGTGTAATTTTTTTTTATTCGTATATCACTTAAACAAAAAAAAAAAAAAAACTAATCGTTCTGTTACTAGACATAAAACCATGTGCACTTGAGATAATTTGAAATTCAAAAATAGGATAACAAAAGCCAACCTTAATCCAAATTTAAGGTCTTGCACTTTGGCCGGCTTTGCTATTTGAGTTTAACTGAAACTCTTGTACTTTTCTTCCTCACACTATAAAGGTAACAAATAAGAGTCACTGTTAATTACTCATAACCAAAGCCATAAGTTAAGGTATTATCACAATGGCTGCACGTTCTGCTAGTCCTCAACTGGAACTTGTTACATGTTCAATTCTGCTGCTAGCACTCTTTGCAACAATAGCCACTAGTGCTGATATATTCCTTGATTGGCACGTTTCTACTGACTTCGATCTAAAGCCAGTTTCTGCAGATCAACCGGTAGAGATTGTAGCCTTTGATTTATTCATATTTTTATTTGTTTTGAGTCATCATCATACACATTGTTGCCTAATAATCTCATTGCTGATATGAATGGCAGGTTATAACAATCAATGGCATGTTTCCTGGGCCCCTTATAAATGCAACAACAAATGATAATATTCATGTCACTGTTTTCAATGATTTGGATGAACCCTTGCTATTTACATGGTATATAATACTCTCTTTCTTTCTCTCTAAATAATCATCATGCACTACTGTAAAAGTCCCAATTGTAGCATAAGAAAGCCAATGTTAATGGAAAATTCAAGATTCATATATTTTAATTATTATGGTATTAATCGCTTTAGTTTTATGAATGGAGTTATGCACTAAGGATACATAATTCTGGTTCTGATATGTAGGAATGGCATACAGCAAAGGCTAAACTCATGGCAAGATGGAGTGTCTGGTACAAACTGCCCCATCCAACCTGGCACCAACTGGACTTATGTTTTCCAAACCAAAGACCAGATTGGCACATTCTTCTACTTCCCTTCCACCAATTTCACGAAAGCTGGTGGAGGGTTTGGTCCAATTAGAGTCAACAATCGTCCTGTGATAACTGTTCCTTTTCCAAAACCTGAAGCAGAGTTTGATCTTTTAATTGGTGATTGGTACAATAGTAGCTACAAGGTAACTCACTCCTTTCTTGTCATATTACCATTGATTATTCTCACTTTTGAACATTGATAATATGGCATGAGAAGTTCCCTAGAATGCCATTCCATTTGCATGTGTTATCTATTTGTATTTATTTTTGGATTTGCTCATTCTTAATAGTGAATATATTTGATATAATTTCAACCAGGATATTAGGTCCAGTTTGAAAACTACGGATGTTATTTCCCCTGATTGGATGCTAATAAATGGCAAAGGACCATATATGAACCCTTCTTCAAAATCATATGAAATCTTCAATGTTACACAAGGTAAGAACTGAACAAGACAAGTCTTAGTTACTCCCACTTTATCATCATGTTGTTTATTAATATAACTCCTTTATGATAATGTGTCACAGGCAAAACATATTTGCTTAGGATATCAAATGTAGGGACAGCTTGGAGCTTCAATTTCAGGATTCAAGATCATCTAATGGTTCTTGTTGAAACTGAAGGGTCTTATGCCAATCAGATAAAGTTGGAGTCTCTTGATGTTCATGTAGGCCAATCCTACTCAGTTCTTGTCACAGCAGACCAAAATGCTGCTGATTTCGACATAGTGGCCTCTCCTAAAATGATTGATGCCACAAATATGAGCAGTCTTGTTGGCGTTGCTGTGCTTCATTACGATAATTCTACCACACCTGCTAATGGATCTCTCCCATGTGGTCCAGATCCATTTGATATGCAGTTTTCCATCAACCAAGCAAAATCCATTAGGTAATTGCATGTCACAAAATGGTGCTCTGTATACTAAAAAAAAGAGCTTCTCTAATTTCTTGTTTTTGTTTTTTCATCTAATGTTAGCATACTATTATGTTAGCAATAGCAATCAATGCCTTTAAACAGTTTTGAGAAGTTAAGAAAACTTAAAATTCTGATTTTGAGGTCATATTCAAAACATATACAAACATTCACATTGTGGGTTTATTTGAATTGAAGGTGGAACCTGACCACTGGAGCTGCAAGGCCTAATCCTCAAGGAACCTTCAACGTAACAAATGTGACAATATCTGAGACTTTCATTCTACAGACATCAACAGCGACGGTTGATCAATTACCTCGTTACACTGTCAACAATGTGTCATACTTGACCCCAGATACACCACTGAAGCTAGCTGATTACATTACCAATGGAACAGGAGTATATAAACTTGATGCTTTTTCTAAGAACTCTTCAAATGCCAATGCCGTTCGTGGAGTTTTTGTAGCAAGTGCATTACATAAAGGGTGGACGGAGATAGTGCTTCAAAACAAGTTAGACACCATTGATACTTGGCATTTGGATGGATATAGCTTCTTTGTCGTCGGGTAAGTGTTACATAGGAATATACCACATTAAGTAGAATTGCTTAACTTAACCAGTTGTGTTACTTACCACATTAAGTGATCAAGTAAACTACTTAATGAGTTGTATTACCATGAAATTGGTTTCACGGTGAATCCTATATGTGATAACATTTGGATAAATTCAAAGTTATAAAATATGTACATATTATAAAATTGTCTACGGATATATTGGCATGTTAATAGTTTATTGTAGCACAACTCTAAATTAATTATGAGTGGCTCTTTTCTCCACCCTCATTCTATCTTAAAAAAATCAGCTTCAAATCATAATATTTTCTGCATATGAAATTTCCCAGTTCATAAATAACAAGTTTTTGTTACCTATGTTTCTGTTTAGATTTGGTTACGGAGAATGGGAACCAGAATCACGGTCAACTTATAACCTTTATGACCCAGTAGCTCGCTCCACAGTGCAAGTGTACCCAGGATGGTGGAGTGCAGTGTATGTGTACCCTGACAACCCTGGAATGTGGAACTTGAGATCACAGAAATTGAAAAACTGGTATTTAGGTGAGGAGCTCTATGTAAGAGTTTATGATCCTGATCCCAACCCTGCCAGAGAGAGGCCATCACCACAGAATCTCCTTTTTTGTGGTTAGTTAATGTGAAAAGTTTCTTCCACTTTTTTCTCCCTATCTCTCTCTTTAAAAAGCTTACATTCTTGAATGATGATGAATACATGGATTATATTATTGATGCTTTTGAATGTTCACAGGCATTTTTCAATTTCTGGCTCCACCTCCTGCTCCAGCCCCTCCTCCCCTTTTTCCTCCCTGCTATCCATTTCCAATAAAACCACCACCACCACCACCATCATCCAAGGCACACAATCCACATAGAGCAAGGTATTAACATATTTTGAGTTGTGACATCATTTATGAGAAATGCTTACAATTTAATGAGTTCTTCTTTCTCTGTTTTCTTTGTGGTACTATAATAGGTCTCTTGTTGCTATGATCACCACTGCCATCTGTTTCCTCTATTTTGGTCTCCACTGAGAGGGTGCATCCTTTGCTAAGGAGATTGGAGATATGAAGATAACTTTACTTTAGTATTTTCTTCTTTTTTAAGTAGTTATATCAACAATGAAAGCAATTCACCATTTTTTTTCTTCTTTTATAGCAAGTTATTACGTCAAGAATGACAAAAATATTTGTCACTTATTATTACTTTGATCATGTTACTAGTTTAATTTTGAATATATACAAGTTAAGGTTTGCATTGTCATTCTGTGGCCATGTTGCTTAATCTACAACAGGGTGGAAAATGATGCATGTTTTACGGTCTGCATCATGCAAGGGTGTCATGAATCATGATGTTGCTTAATCTAAAAAAGGGTGGGAAATGATGCATGTTTTAGGGCCGGCTACGTGCAAGTGCGTCTTGATTGGCATATTACTAGTAAACATTTTTCACAACTTAATGTTTCATGTTGTCCCTTTTCATTCCTATGCAATACTCTCAATTGTTAATTAAATCATGATGTTACCATTTTCATTGATATATTTTCTCCGAGTGTCCACTCTCACTAGACTACTGACCTATTAACTAACCACTACAAACGATAATAGGTAGTAATGTGGTTATAAGCTATTAGTACTTACAACTATGTCGTTAACTGAAAACTGTACGATGATTAAGAAACTTTGACACTAACACATAGCAAAACTTTAAAGGGGCGTTTGGTAGAGGAAAAAAAAATTTTTATCCGAAAATCTCAATTTTTAAAAATATGATTTTTACGTTCAGTTTACGATAATATTTAAAAATTAAAAATTTAAAAAAATTTAATTTTCTGAAAATCTCCAAGAATCTCATGTACCAAACGGGCTCTAAGTGTTTAGTTAGGACTTGGAAGTATCATGTTAGGCGTAACTTTAAAGTAACATGTAAAAGAGGTAAAGTGTAAGGTAGAGGCAAAGTATATTGAAGACTGATGTATTGTGTATACTCTACGTATAGCCTACACTTTATTCCATTCATATTTGAGATGGGTTCATGTTGCTCCGATAATTTGTGAACCTCTGAAGTCATTTGGGCTGAGTGAAATTGCTATATCTTTTTCCAGATCTCACGTAAAAATATCAGACTTCAATTTTCGTCCACCGTTCATAGTGACATGAATCCATATTTGATTACTATTAAAAAAAAAAAGGTAGGAGCTGATCAATTTTTCTTTTTTTGGAGGTTTCTGATCAATTTTTCTAATTATAGAACTGAACCAAATTAAATTAATCTTATTCTGTTTGATTTGACTTGGTTCAACAAGTTATTGACTAAACACCTCTTTTTTCTTAAAAAAAATTTGGTCCAACTTCACTTTTTTAATTTTCATGACCATTAACAATAAATTGGCGTAAAATTTCCATGATGACAAATATATATATATATATAAAAGTCCAAACATGTCATTTTTCCCATCACCTTAAACTCATATATGACCTCATATTTATAGGACGGGTTTAGCTTTAGCAATTGGACCCCTAAATTAGCAACTTACTCAACTTGGCAACTTTAGCCGCCTCACTCGTTGCCTCCATCCATTTCCTCATTATCTCTCTTCCTTTTTTTTTTATTATATCTATTTTATATTCTTTCTGAGTACTTAGATACATCCTCAACTTGTACTTACATAATCTCATGATGCATTTTGACTTTTGATTTCTTAAAAAAAAAAAAAGAGAGAGAGAGAGAGACTTTGGTGGTAAAATGTTGGTATAATAATCTTATAAAACACAATGGCCTTACTAAAAATAGGTTGAGTGTAAATCTATGCTTATGGAGGAACTCAGTTTTCTTCAAGGCCTCTATCTTTTTACTTCATGTAAAAAAAAAAAAAAGAGATAATAAAATTCAATATCCCATGTAGCTTATTAATGTATTAAATAGAACTGCAATCTTTACTTTCCTTTGTGGAATTGACCTGCTATCTAGTTTTGGTATTTATTAGCTGTACATCTAGGCCAAGCTTGAGGATCCAGTGGAGAAATTTGAGGCTTGTGAACTATGAAGTACTACTGTAGGGTTTCATGGGTTGCTTAGGTGTAATGAGTAGGCAATTAACTAGCACAAGCAAAGAAAAGAACAAAATAATATGAACAGTAACATTTTTTTAATGTTAACATATTGGTAAAGGAGAATGAGCATTCATGTGGGAATAGCAGTTACTTACTGGCTTTCCATTCTTTTATTCTATTTCCATCACCCAAACACACTTAAGAGGGGAGACAGAAACATAACATACAGAGAGAGAGAGAGAGAGAGGAGGCAGGCTTTCTTGTGGACAAAACAACGAAGCTTAAACAAAGACTTTTGTGATAGTAGCAACACCCTCTCTGCCTCTCTTTCTCTCTGCAGTCATAATACATCACATTCTCTGTCACAGAAAAAAGAGCAAAAAACCAATGAAAAAAAGGAAGAAAAGGATACCCAACATGCGCTATCCATGAGTTAATAGAGGTCTTTTTCAGAGAACAAAATTTAAAATTTTTCTTCAATAAACAACTGAACTCACCCATAATCATTAGGTGCTTGATCAAGTTGATAAAGAATCAAAAATCATGTAATAATTTGAAATGTATAGAAAAGAATCAGATCAGACAACAAATGTATTGCTACAATTGTATGATAACCAAGTTTCTTGATTATCTTGTTAGTAATGACAATCCACCAAAGTTGGGGCGGAGAAGACAAGATTTGTTTGTTGTTGTTGTTGTTTCTGCCCATGTTGTTGTTGTTGCTGCCCATGTTGTTGTTGTTGTTGTTGTTGTTGCTTGGATGCAAAGGCAAACTTGGATTCTCTTTGATGATCATCTTCTGGGGCAGGAAGGTTGAGATCCAAATCCAAATTCAGCACATTTCTTCTCTTTCTGGGTTGATCTTCTTCTGGTTCCAAAGCCATTGGGGTCAAAGAGAGTGTGGTGTTGGTCCCCACCGGTGCACGGTGGCGTCTCATATGGCCACCGAGTGCCTGTCCTGATGTGAATTCAGCACCACAAACAGAACACTCATGCACCTTGGACTTGTTGTTATTGGTATACAAATTCCCCCTGCTATTCAATTGAAGGGAAAGTGATTTATTGGTCTTGATGAATTGAAACTCTTCCTCATCTGCTGACAACAAAAGTTGCTTCTTTTCTTGAGCAATGACCATTGCAGCCATGTTCTTAGGCTTCTTGTGACTAGCCCTGTGTCCTCCAAGTGCTTGAAATGAAGGGAAAGTTTTGTTACATGTCTTGCATTCATATACATAATACCCTGCCCTGCTAGACCCCAAGGTTGCAGCTTCCAAGAATTTTCTACTGCTATACTTGGTGTAGTTCATGGAACTATCTTCCTCGGCTTGTTTTGGAGATTCCCTTGATTGTCCTTGTGCTAGAAGGATCAAGCAATTTGCCATATCCTCCTCTTCATCTGTGCTATCATGTAATCCTGCAGAAGAAGTGGTGGGGGTGCTGTTGTTATTGTTATTATCATTATCATTATAATCCTTCTTGTTGTTGTTGTTGTTGTTGTTGGTGGTGGTGTCATCTCTATTGTAGCAATCTTCCCTTTCTCCTTCTCCCGTTGAAGAATTAGCAGTGATGGAGAAGGGGATAGGGGATTGTGGCCTTACCCTTTTGGTTCTTTTCCCTTTGACAATGTTGGTATGCTCTTTGGAACCCAAAGAGAGTTCCTCTGGTGCTTCCATGTTGATTCCTACACCTCCAAGGAGATCCTTAAAAGAGAGAGAGAGAGAGAGAGAGAGAGAGAGAGAGAGAGAGAGAGAGGATAGGAGGGTTGTAAGGAAGCAGAGAAAGGAGAGTGGGGGTTGGTTATTATATATAGATAGATAGTGAATGATACAATTAAGTTGGGGGAGTCAAAAGCCACCCAATACAACAGTAACTGTGAATCAGCCCTGTAATCATCCAACTTTTGCAAGTGTTTAATTATAGGCAAATTGGATTGGAATTTTAGAAAATTGAAAGAGAGAAAATATAGCACTCAAGAAAAAAGAGACACCAAAAATAATGCAATTTAACAGAAAGTGACCAAATTTGGAGAGTGTGAAACAGGGCAAACAGACTGGAAGAGAGGGGGAAGGAGTGGTTTGTTCAACACATAGTCCGTCTCACACTCTCTTTCTCACACTTTGCCAACGCTTTTCATGAAATTAAAAACTACCCCCAACCAAAGCTTGGTGGCACCATATTAGCATGCTCTTTATTTTTACCCTTTCTCTCTCTCTCAATTCAATAGACTTCTACTCAGAGTAATTAGTAATTACTATTTACCACCACCCCCCACTCTCACATTCATGGGGTGGATTCCCTATACCTCATTCTATATATAGCTTACATGTGACTCCAACCTCTCAATCTTTGTCACTAGCTTGGATATCTAAACCACACATAGGTTTTGGTATGTTGTAATTTGCACTATTTTGGGTCAATTGTCAACCACTAGAAAAAATGAAATCTAAAATTTTGCTAAAAACATTTAAACTTTTTTTAACTTTTTCACTGACTTGGTGATCCATGCCTCAAAAAAAAAAAAAAAAAAAAAGGTTTTGGTATGTTCAATTGTAAACCACTAGAAAATGGAAGCTAGAATTTATGCCCACACAATTAATATTGCTAGTTACTAGCAGTACAAATTGAAGTTCTCATGAATCAACCTAATGATTGTTTCACATTTCATGGGATATTTTAATTAATATGTGAGATGTGTTATATTGAAGACGCGTGAGTACCAATTATATCTTTGGTTTAGTCACACTAACACGTCTAGCTGAAGAAAGACATATACAGTACAAGATACGGGTTGATATACATGAGTATACTATTTTTAGAGAGAGACAAAGTGGATTTTTTAGAGAGAGAGAGAGAGAGAGAGAGGGGGGGGGTGTGAAGGAAGGAAGCAATAGCCCATTACTTTGCCTCAACGATTTGTGCACGAGATGATTGGAGTGCAAGCCTGGAACCACGGAATCTGCGGTGCTCCCTTCACTTACTTTCCCTTAACTTTATATTTATCTCTCTCAGTCTCTCTTATTATGCCTTTTGTATTCTGTCATGCTTGCATGACCACACATTTCATGGACTTCTTGTGCTTCTCACTCTCTATATTCTCTTTTTATGTTTTACTTATGCCCTAATTGTAGTATAACAACAACAAAGAGGAACTCATGCTCACAAATTTCAGGCTTCATTTCCCCATTTTTATATTTTACTTTCCAAAATTCGGTTTTTCAAAGTATTAACTACTAAATAAGCCCCTACCATGCCTTAAAAATTTGTCACCAAAAACTCAACTCAATTTCCTCCAATTTGTTATGTGTATAGATGACCTTGATTCCTGCCAAACATTACCATACGCTAAGTGGGCCATAAAAGTCCTCATGTGTATCACTAATTTCATTAATAATGCACATGAGATAATTAGCTAGTAGTGTAATTTGCAAAGGATTTTAAAAAAATTCGAGTAAATATCTTTTTTGGTCTTCAGCAAATTTCACGATATCCGCTTTAGTCTCTAGCAAATAATAAGGCTCATCGTGGTCCCTAAAAAATTCAAAATGGACTCATTTAGTTGAAATCGTGGTCCCTCACAAATTCAAAAAAGACCCATATTAGTCCCTCAAAAGGACTAAAATGAGTATATTTTGAATTTTTTAGGAACCACGATGAGCTTTTTTATTTGCTAGGGACTAACGCGGACATCGTAAAATTTGCTGAAGATCAAAAAGGATATTTACTCAAAAAAAAATTATTCATAAATTTTTCACGCAGTTGAATTTATATTTGAAACAAAAAAATATTGGAGACTTTTTTCAGAATTATAATAATTTATAAGTCTAATGTATTTTAATAGTTGATGTAACTCGTCACTTTGCATGTCAAATGGGATAAACAGAGGAATTATGATAGATTGATAAAGAGAAATCCTAGTTATTGATTATATTTATTAAATTAATAGAAAATTCAACAGTCTTTTTTTTTTCTTTTTTTTTGATAACAAAATTCAACAGTCTTTCCATACGAACTTAAACATATTTTATAGGGAAATTACAAATTAATTAAATTTTTTAAAGATAAACAATTACAATGCAATCAGTATTAAACATTTCTAAGAAAAAAAATTATTTAGAAATAAAAATAACTAATTATAAATCAATTTATATTAAACAAAATTAAAACACGAAAATAATCAAAATTGAATCAACCTAAATATTACAGACGGAAATTAATAAAATTAAATCAATCCTAATAAATAAAGAAAAATTTTACAAATAGAAATTTGGCAATCAATCAAAATCAAAATACATCACAAGTCTTAGCATTCAAAACATGTAAACATCCTTGAAAATGTAGATCATGCTTAATAGATTATAAATCTTATTGAAACCAAATTTTTTGAATCAACCTCTTAAGTCGTTATTTAAATTTATTTACTCAAGCTCTAATAACTGGACCAATTCTGTGTACATCAACTTTATTTTTGAATATTTTTAATTATTCAAATTATAATATTTTAATTAGAATTTAAGTTGACTATAAAAATATTCGCATAGTATTTTATGTTATTGCCCTATAACATTTTCTTCGTAATTCTGACTTGACCGAGAGCGTAATAAAAAGGCAACACTTGGCGCTATTTAAATGTTTGGAGACAATGATTGAATGATTGAGGGATATAATATCTGTTTAATTTTATCTCAAATTTGAAATAAGTGAGAATATAGGTAAAGCATGTAGATTCAAATAGTGAAAACCAATTCCTTAATAATTATGCACATGTATATTTATGGCTTTAGATAGGGAAATAAACAAGTTCATTTTCTGGTGTTAATATTAACTAATTTGTTAGTAGTCTCTATCCAAACGTCATAGTTAGCATTTAGTTTTGGCTAAAAACAAATTTTGTGTATCGTTTATGTATTGTTGATTGATGTATGAGTAAACTAGAGAGGTTAATCAACATGGCCACCAAGGATGGGACTTTAAAAAGCTCTTGCTAGTGGAGGAAACCTCCTATTTAATCTCACTACTTTTTAGTCACAGCTGTCCAAATATGTGAGTCAATTTGATTTACTAAGGTAAGCTTAGTAAATGGGTTAAGAAAAAAGTTGAGTAAGTCATCGTATTAGTTTTTAAACTTCTACCTCTGCTTTTATATGTGGTTATGGTCCTAAATAATAATCACTCACGTAAAGGTTCTGGAACATTCTATCTATCGTGTACGTTAGTCTTAAAGGGGTCAAATTAGCACGTTCATGCTGTTTTCTGCTTCAGAAATTGCTTCCGTTTTGATCCTTGGTTGAGTACCATTTTTATCCTCTTAGATCCAAGGGCTCGCAGTTTAGTGCAACCCCACCACCGTGCCTCAAAGACATCATCTTTGGGGTGTTTGGTTCAAGTTTTTGGAGAGGATTACCGGTAATCCTTCTTTGGTAAATGTAATTACCACGTTTGGTAGAAGGAATAAATTACGATTCCCGGATATCCAAAGATTACCGGTAATTTGATTTATAAAGAAAAGTCACTATTCAGATTACTAAAAATAATATGGTAATTCGGAATACCAATCAGAATAACAAATAAAGGGAAAACACAACAATAAATTTTGAGACAAAAATACCCCAATACACATAAAAATCTAGACCCAATCTATCAATTACAAAAGTAAAAATAGTTTGGGGTTATTTTTGTAAAATAACCTCATATCCCAAGTCATATTTCGTTCTAAACCAAATATGGAATCAGTAATTTTTACCCAATATTCCCGGTAATATTTTGGCGAACCAAACACATCTTTCGTAAGATTCCAAGTAAACTCAATTTCTACTGAATTCCCATTAATCATGATTCCCGGTCACCAAAAAATTTCTCTTGTACCAAACACACCCTCGTTTCCTTTGTGTAACTATATGCTTTCATATTCAACTTGTGGAAGCTTATTAGTTTTTGGGGTTGTCCGTATTTTGACAAGTATCTATTAGTGCCTTCAAATGGCCTTGAAACTCGTAAATATTTAATATGTTCCAGGATTATCTAATGATTTGGGGCTCATTTTCACAACACTAATTTTTTTCTTTCTTTTTTTACTTCTGCTATTTTTTTTCTTTTCTAATTTTACACTTCCATTTACACTAAGAGACCACCTAAAAAAATAGTGATCCCAGACCACAATAAATTCTCTCCTTGAAACTCCTATGTTTTTTAGTGTACGATGATGTGATAGGTAGTGGGAAGATCACAACTATATAAAAGTAAATTAACGGTTATGATTTTGTAACTACCTATTATAACAATTTTTGTCTCCCAAATAATATGATCATGTGAATTTTCACATGAAAAGATTTGGATCCATATAAAGATTCATTTCAACTTCTAAAGTTAATTATTTCACATATCTTTAATGGAGTAACATTTCCACTCGTAACATGATAAGAGAGTTTTTTTTAGGTGTGCCCCATAGGTAAAAAAAGAAAAAAGACATTGGCACAAAAAATATACTCTCAGTACCATAATATAACCATTTTCATGCAATATTATTCTTATAAATCTCATCTTTACTATGTCCTTAATATAATAGTTTATTGAACTTGAACAATAAATATTTTATAGACCTACATTGTAGGCAATAATAATCGAACCCGTAATTACTTAGTGCTGTTTTTTTTTAATTAAAAGTTTGGATGAGTTT